GACATTTATTGTCCCCCATTTTCGCAAAAGGTAGGGGACATTCAATTTCATTTGTATGTGAGTCTGTCTGTATGTCACAATAAATTTAACCTTGGTCATCATGGTCATATATTTTGAATGAAAAGAGACGGGACTTTCTTATTAAACATGTGTATTAGTATTTACCTGTGACAATGCCAATCTAAATATACTGCTTTTTTTTTTTTACATGACATTAACCTTGAAGTTTGTATACTTTACAAAAAAAAATTGTTTTAAATTGATCATTTTAAAGGAGAAAAGATTGGGCAATCATTTTATACATGCATGTATATTACCTGTGGTAAGACCTTCCGAAATGTATTGTGACTTTTGACTCTGTGACCTGGAAATTTTAACTTACTTTTCAAAAATGTTGTATTTCTTATAACTTTTAATTAGGCAATTTTAGCGATGTTAACTTGATAGTGTTATAATGTGTAATCATTCCAAAAAAGGGATCAAGTACATCATACATGTATATTGTGTTTTCATTATTAAAAAGATATTGCTTTAATTGACAGATCGTCTGCTTATAACATTTTAATGGAGTATAATGTAAAAGATGTAAATAAAAATGGTAAATATATTCGTTCTTATTATAGGGTTTCTGAGATATTGAGTTATGGACCCCAGTACTAGTGCTCAGAACGTAATGCGATGTGACTTGTGTGAGACCACTGTGGCACATATGCACTGTGATACATGTCTTGTCAACCTGTGTAAGGCCTGTGTGGGAGAACATATTTCTGCTGATCTCTCAAAACCTCATAAAATTGTTGATTTTAAAGCTAGGAAATCTACTATGATTTACCCTAAATGCATGTCACATGATGTTGAAACATGTGAAGTGTACTGTTCTCAATGTGACATTCCTGTCTGTCCTAAATATACGGAACTCCGATTCTTTAACTGGCGTCGGAATTTCATAAATATTATGGATTCTGTTGAAAATTACGCCAGACGATGGGCCAGATATGAAAAAGAAGACATTGACACCTTGTCAGAATGGATTAAATGTATTAGATCCATGTTAAAGTCACGTATTAAAAGATTGAGGGGCAAAATGAAAATCATCTATCCTTCTGTGTTCAATAAACCAGAAGTGAAAAAGAATTAGATAGATTACACGATCAGTACGTACTGGTTCCTGCCGACAAAGCAGGTAACAACATTGTCTTCGTTCGTAAGGCTCATTATATAAATTGCATTCTAGAAGAACTTGGATTTAATTCTACAAGTGGTAATCCTACTTATACTCATACTTCTCTTTCTAGGGAAGAAATTCTTCAAAATCACCTGTCAGTTTTGAATACTTTTAATATTCCACAGAGCTAAAATGAATTTGAACTACCTTATGTATATTGGATTCCGAAACTTCATAAGAATCCTAACAAACAAAGATACATTGCAGGTTCCAGTAAATGTTCAACCAAGCCTCTTTCGTTACTTCTCACTAAAATATTGACAGTAGTGAAGGCAAAACTTCAAGAGTACTGTACAACTATATATTCAAGAAATGGTGTAAATCAGATGTGGATACTTAAATATTCTAAAGAACTTTTGGATAATTTGAAATCACAAGACTTTACAAAAAACAACAGCTTAAAAACTTACGACTTTTCAACTTTATACACAACAATTCCCACGACAAATTAAAATCCAGGCTTTTTGATATCATTGACAGCTGCTTCTTCAACAAAAATGGAACTCGTAAATTTACTTACCTCGTCATTGGTCATTTGAAAAATTATTTTGTTAAAACAGATTCTGATTGCACACATAAGTACTCTGAAGTTGACATCAAGAAGATGCTTGAGTTTCTGATTGACAATATCTATGTGGTTTTTGGAGACCAGTTATTCCAACAATCTATTGGAATTCCCATGGGTATAAATTGCACTTAGTTATTAGCAGACTTATTTTTATATTCATATGAAGCAGAATTTATGCAAAATCTTATGCGTGAAAAGAAGAAAACACTTGCTGTGGCCTTCAACTCGACATTTAGATATATCGACGACGTATTGTCAATTCATAATGATAATTTCCATTCCTACGTCGACACGATATATCCTGGTGAGCTTGAGATAAAAGAAACCACAGAGTCCGACACTTCTGCTTCATACTTGGATATTTTACTTGAAAAAGACACTAATGGTAATCTAACAACCAAGCTATATGATAAACGTGATGACTTTAACTTTTCTATCGTCAACTTCCCTTACTTATGCAGCAATATACCTTCATCACCTGCATACGGAGTATATATATCTCAGTTGATTCGATACGCAAGAGCATGGTCTACGTATGAACAATTTCTTAAACGAGGTAAATTATTGACAAGCAAGTTGATGAAAAAAGGATATCAACAGTCTCGTTTAAAGTCATCATTCCGTAAGTTCTATGGTCGATACAATGACCTTGTCAGCAAATACAATTTATCATTGAATGAAATGCTGACTGACGTTTTTCATACCAATTGTTAGTACATTATTTATACACTGAATTGACGACGGATTTTTTCCGTTATTTCCTGATTATGACAACGAGCACACGGCAGGTGTGACCGGTCGGCAGGGGATGCTCACTCCTCCATGGCACCTGATCCCACCTCTGATGTTTCGGAGGTCCGTGTTTGCTCTGCTCTTATTTTGTATATTGTTTAACCCTTTCTCTTCCGGCGCATTTCACCTGATTTTGGAGGCCTTTTGATACGGCATTATTAAATTATTTCTAACTTTTTTATCCAAGGGAAAAGCTAGGCATAATGCATACCATTTTGTAGGAAATTTCTTACAGATGATATTTTATGACTGTTTAGATACTCAACCACTGACCTTATTAGTATAAATTGAGGTCAAAGGTCAATTAAGTGCAAAATTTTATGGAATTTTTGATACTTTTTCATCTTTAAACACCCAATTTTATGTTAACGCCCCCAAAATCTACCTGATTCAAGATCAATTATTTACCGCCTGTCAATCATAAAAAAAACAATAGCTTCTGATTTGATTGACAGGTAAGCTACCTGTGCTTCTTGATAAACTGAGTTTGCATGTTTTGAAAACAATAACCTGGCCACGCGTCAAACTCTTTCATGTACCCGCATAGTATACACGCGGGTTAGAAAACTCCAATATGTTTGAATTTTATTTCAAAAAATAATTGAAAGTAGATTATTAAAACATTGTCATTATAGAATATTTCTTTTCTATCTTCACTGCTGTGTGTTACTTGTAAGTGTTATATCGTACACGTTATCTGTAGAAAAAAGACCGCGTCCACAGAAACCGGCTCTATTTGCTGTAATTGGAAGGGTACAGTGGAAGTCCGACAATTTAAATTATTTTTGAAGAAATTGGATATAAGAGAAAATATTCAGCACTAATAAACGGCATGGCATAGTTTTTATAAGATGTTTTATTTTGTACTATGGCTACAATCCATGTTGTACAGAGATGATGTCAGAATTAATGCTCAAATTTCCTCTAGCGTCTGTATATATACGTAATGAAAATGTGAAGATAATAAATAGTGATCGATTCTGAAAAGAAATCTTTCAAACAATAAAGTTTTGTTAACACACGAAGAATAAATAATATGGAATGTTTTGGACAACATTGTTGGCGAGGGGGGGGGGGGACCATTCCGATCGCGGTAATGTTCACATGCACAACGGATAGGTGGATTAATAATTTTTTTTATTTCAATATTCAGACTTTTTTAATCAAGTGATTTCTTTTATTGAAGATTAAAAAAGATAAATATTATTGATTAGTAGTTTTTACTCGTGAATTTTTTGTTTTATGTAAGGAAAACATTTTATAAAATGATATAACTGTTACATGTATTTTATTATTTTTTTTCCTTCAAAACATTTCCATGATTACGATAAATGCGTTAAGTTTACAAATAAATTTCATATTGAAATAATTTTTTTACGTAGTTTCACTCAAAACCAGACTCAAAACACGTAATGATGACCCTGATTACCAAACACAGACTTCCTGTGTAATGCTACATATACACAGATTTTTGACATCTAGGGTATTGGGGGTCTCCAGGTAAATAACACTACTGTTACTTCGACCACTCCCCCTCCTCAGGTAACCGTACGGTAAAAAAATTGGGTCTTTAAGCTAAATATTAAGTATGATGTATGTTGAAATAGGAAATTTGGGATATACCCACAAAAGAGCATTATACTGTACTACATGAAACACATAAACTTTTTTTTCAATTCTGCATATAACTACTTAAAAGGGGTTGCTAAGCAACGCAGAATTCTTTAATTTTCGGGCAGAAATTTTCATTTTTTACTCATCCTAGACACTTTTATGCATCCCAGCACATAAAAAGAGTTAGATGTGAGGTCAAAAAATTATAAGGGACATACAACAGATAAATTGTCTTAAAGTTTGACCTCATTAGAACTATTTTTAGGAGGTCAAAGGTCAAATAAGTGCAAAAGTTTCATCAATTTTTTTTCAACACTTTTCAATATTCTTGCCATAATTTTACACAATGGATGCTGAAATGGAAAATTCTGAATATACTCTCAAGAAGGGATCAGAACTGCAATATCCATGCATCATTTTATTTCAAATATCTGTTTAATGACCTTTAAGTGGTTGCTAAGCAACATCATTTTAAAGTTTTTGGCTATATACATCATTGTTTGTTATTTCACATTCTGGACAAATTCTAGACACTTTTTGTATATTTCATGATATTGTTTGTAAGATATGGGCCATAAAGATGAAAGAACATTTTTGTATTAAAAATTGACCTTGACACTCTTGTTCTTCAGGGGGTCAAGGTCATATCAGTACAGAATTCTGCTTTAAACTGTAAGTAAATATCAATTTTGAAATGCTTCAAACATGGATAAATCATCTAATAGTAGACGTAATAAAAATGGCGAATGACAAAGTTTGCAAGCAGGAATTCTGGTCTGCTTCTTATAAAGCCCTAGCAAAACATGTATACTATCTTTTTGTTAAACAAGAAATCCATTCTCTTGATGACATTAAAAATAATCTTTATTTTCATGGATTTAATTTAACAAGAAAAAAAAACTAAATGATTTCATTACAAGATTTTTCTGGTATAACAGAGCTTAAGGGGTACAATAAAGACTTGACATGTTATCTTGGAGGGAAATAATAATAATAGATAGCATTGGCAATATTAAATGCAAAACTGTTTAGTCAATAAGTTGAAAATTTGTCGCTTATATCCAAATATACAAATACAGAAATATTGCAAGATGAATTCCAAATCAGACTGAAATCTTCAACAAAATGTTGAAGAGCACTTTTACTTTGTGTCCACCATTCTTTTATCAACTGTCATTTCTCTGTAAGACCGGAGGAAATTCTTTGACTTGTCCAAGACATTATTATTTGCTGTCAAGTACAAGTGATCAGCTTCTATCCTGTAAAAGATTTTAGTATTTTGAAACAGATACATGTCATTGTGTATATAAATTTATATTTATAAATGAAATTAAGAATGCTAAAATTACTACATTTATTTGATTTTCCTTTTAAAATTAAAATTGTATTCATTATGTGATCCAAGTAGTTAAATGATATTGTTAAGTCAATGTATCAGGACTGATAATTCAAAAACCTTGTAGTAAACCACCATGGTAAAATTACTGAACTAAAACAAATAGCATACAGTACAGGCAACGCGGATCCCGTATTTCCCGCGTCCCCGCCGCGGTATAATCACAACGCGGTATTTGGCCAGGTAGACAGGTAAACCGCGTTCCCTCCGCGGGAAATTCATCACTTACCTGTCCCCGCCGCGGTTAAATCATCGATCAATTACTGACAATTAGTATCGTAAACAAACGGGAGTTATCTCCCCGAAATGTAATTTGCGAATTTTCCCTGTAACAAAAAAAAACAAACAAACAAACAAACAAACAAACAAAAAAAACTGTGTATTTATTAATAAATTTTGCTATGAATAGAATTTAAACTAAGAAAAAATAAGTTTATTTTCTAAAATTATATATCAATCTTTGAAATTGAATAGAAAATTTTATTTTTTGTTTCTAAAATTATATATCAATCTTTGAAATTGAATAGAAAATTTTATTAAATTGTTACGTCTTTGCAATTGGTTAATTATTTTGTGTTATTAAGAATCTATCAAGAAACAAAATTAAATACTAGAAATTTTAATTAGTTTTTTTTTAATCTTCATATTATATGCAAACGGTAATAAATGTTGAACTCAGACTGTTTAAGTTTCGATGAACGATTTTCAGCATTCATTTGAAAAAAAAAGATGTACATCTTTTAAAAAATGTACATCTTCATATTGTTTATTAATTAATTTCGATTTATTGTATATAAAATGTACAGGCTTTTTCTTAAAGTGTCAAATTACCGGAAAACATCCGATGACGAGCATTTGCAGTTACATGTAGTGGGCACGTGAACTTAAATTTTCTTTATTCAAGATATCAAGGAAAAGTTCTATTCTTCTTTATTTCTCATCGTTTATGTTCTGTTCGAAGAATTCTCCAAATTAAGTTAATTTAATTAATTAATTTTCTTTAATGTATTTCCCTCTTTTATATAAATGTGCAGGCATTTTTCTCAAATTGTCAAATGACCGGAAAGCATTCGATGACGAGAGTTAACTTTGAGCACGTGAACTTTATACAAGAGATCAAGAAAAAATATCGTTTTTCACCTTCACATTAACATGTTTTACCTTTTAATACAATGTCTTTCTTTTTAATTTTAATATTTCTCGATTTTCGTGTTCAATAGATAAGATAGGATGTGCAGGTGTAATGATAAACTTCACAGACGAAATTATAGTTTATATTAATAAATATTCAATGCAAAAATTCATATATTTTGTTTTCTTTGACAAATTCTGTTTCTTTGTGTATTAAGTATTAGCCGCGATCATTTCCTGTGTATAGGGATTAGCAGTGCCTGAGCAGGAAACGATATGCCCTGGGGGTTTCACACCTGTCTTATAGTATACCTTGGGTAACGCTTGCTGAATGTGCACGTCGTTGTCTAGCCATTCAACAACACATTTGATTCATTGTTTCATTATTATTTCATCGATATCATTTTCAGATGCGATATTAGCCTTGGAATTTGTGTAAAATTATTGTTGCTTTTTTTTAAACGGAGTGTATAAAAAGAATAAAAGTAAAAAAAAAACTTTTAAAACAAATTAATGAAGTATTTGATATCAATTAAATCAAATAATGATCCATTACTATGTTATTTCGTGTCTGTTTATATCTGTACCAGTTAGAAGATTGAAAGAGAGAGAGAGGAGATAGAGAGAAGAAAAATATCACAGTATTAAGGCACGTGCATGGTCGTTTTTCCTCCCTTTTGATCAGTATATCAATTTCTTGAGTTTAGCGAATGAAACTACCGCTGATTTATCAGTTTATTGACCATTTGTGGATTTTGTCTAAGTTTTATTGTTATTTATCGAGAGACTTGTTTATGATCCACTTTCTTCTTTCGTTTAACATATGTACATGACATGTAATTTGAATTACTTCCCTTTTTGTCGCCAGGGGCTCGTAACATAAAGGCTACTTAAGTCTAAGACCCATCGTCTCAAGCCACGGTCCGGAGTCCGCATATAGCTCTCTCCTACCCGTGGCTGCTTGATCACAAAAAGTGTCGTAATCTTGAATATTTACGCCTCTCTATTGTGACGTCATATTCAGTCAGTGGCAAGTTTTGTTTCCATCGCAATTGAAATCAACAACTGACGTCAACAGTATACAAGAAATATTTCCTTTACTGCGATTGGATATTGAAAGGTCGCGATAAAGTTCATCTTCCGACTATGCTTTACTCGCATTGGTCAAAATCTTATTGAGCTACGAAGAATTCTCTCCTCGTTCAACCACGGCCAGAATGGGAGAGGATCGTACATTTTGGCCGTGGTTTGCGACGATGTCTAAGACCGTGCTTAAGTAGGACTTAAGTACAGTCTAAAACTTAAGACCGTAACTAGAAGCGTACTAAGATTTGGCAATCTTAGCAAAACTTAGGCGGCCTGTAGAGGTGACTTAAGTATATCTTAACTTTCTTGTATATATAATTAGAATTATTTAATGTTGACTTTCGATGTTAAAACATTCCTTTATTCATTTTATGCATTAAAGAAAATAATTATATCTATTTGACGCTGATTTAAGAATTTTATTTTTTCGTGGGGGGGGGGGGGGTCACTGATTCCAATATCACTCGCAACACAAATACATGTAAATATACAAAAATTTAATTTTAGGGATACGTCTGAAATTAGTGGGACCTCGGTTATAGAAATAAATTGAACACAGTAATAAACCATGGATCTGTATCTTCACTTTGAAAATATGAGTTGAAGTAATTTGTTAAAAACAGAAATGAAAGAGGATGATGACAGTAAGAGTAATATTATAAAAAGTATCTGTAAAGTAAAATAAATGTAGAAAGCGGCAAGTGCGGATTTAGACAGGGCTCACTACAGTTCTACAGAGAGAGAGAGAGAGAGAGAGAAATTGCTGATAAGTGGAGAAATACGAAAAAATATCCCGATTTTTTTAATCCTTGATTAACTTGCAAATGAGTATATCATAAACCTTCTGCAGTTTTTGCTTCTGACACGCATGGCCTGATACATAGCGGGGATTCAAAATGTATTGAAGTTTTTAGAGTTTCAATTTCAAGTGGACAGGCGGTCGATTATCTTTTCTTTTCTGCGATAATAACAGGGTAAGTGAACATTTGTCAAAACAAAAGAGTTACAACAGGTAAACTGAAAACATCTCAGGTGTTAAAACAATTGTCGTGAACATTTACAATGAACCACAAATCGCCACTTTGTGACCGTGCGGTATTTGTTTTCAAACATTCCGAATAATTTAAAACATAATTATAATTTTAATAAGAAATCTAATCTAACATATCTTAAACCGATAGATAAGGACGTCAATTTTAATATGTAATTAATTAAAACCCTAACTGAATCACTTTTAGCAATATATCTATATAAAATCAAAAACCATAGGTTGAATCATATGAAATATTTTTAACATAAGTTTGACTTAGCTAAGACCTACCTAAGTTCGTTTTATGTTACGGTTTAAGACATACTTAAGTAGTACTTAGTCAGGTCCTAAGATTGTGCCTAAACCGTACTTACGACCCTACTTAAGTCAAAAACTTAGCAAGCTTTATGTTACGAGCCCCTGATTACAACGACAGATTTTGGTGGTAAGATAAAATGTATTTTTGCTATAAAATTTGATTAAGAAAAACACAGTATATTAAAATTGTCGAATTCTTGAAAATATTTATTTGAAACAAAAAATTTAAAAAGGATTCTGTCTGCAACAAAAACATTCTTTCTTTCTTGCATTTCAATTCTTGAGCTACACATGAAAAAAAAAAAACGGCTTCGTTTTACAATGTCGTAGGAAAACGCATACAGGTAATACACTCAGGTAACATCCTGTGTATATAGGTAGTATGTACACTAGACAGCGTCGTTCCCTCGGGGCTTCTCATCCGCTTCGAGTAAGCTCCACTCCACACCAAACTTACCTGAGGAAAACCGAACGGTTACGCAGAAAACTTGAAGCATGGCAACTTGCTGATTAAAATAAGTTAATTTCTGTGTTGTGTGTTCAAATATTTTAAGGGCCCATATTTGTGTTTGTGTTTTATTTGAACCGGAGAAATCTGAAATTTGTTTATGTTCATAAACATGATTTTAGTAATTTTCGAAAAGAGCAGAAAATAGAAATACTTTCAAATACTAGCTATGATTTTATTGATAACCTGTGATTATTTTATTAACAAGACCCCCCCCCCAAAAAAAGGTCGATATTTAGTTCATAGTGTTACAGTGTAGCGCATAATAATGGAGCAACGGTATTCCTACACTTACGCGTGTTTTGTTAAAATTCAATTGTAATTATGTATAATTATGTATCACTATCTATCATCGTTTTTCATGCTATTATTTATAACAGACATGTATACAGAAGTAACGGTACTTTTCTAAATGAAACCAAATGACTGATATAATCTCGCAGATAAATAAACACATAGCTACATGTACATATGTAACTGCAACTGCACGGGCTAATTACGAACAGCGGATTACAGTGCATATAAAGAGAAGCGATATCATAACATTCTTTAAATTTTAATTATACCTTTTTAGCAATTTGAAGATCATTTGGGGTGGCATTATTGATTTTGAAAATAAACTTTAAGTTAATATATTCGATAAATTATTCGACTTTATTTCACCCTATACTGTACATGTATTACTGTTAACAGACGTTATTGAGAATTAATTAATTTTGAGTGACCATTGGTAAAAAAAAAAAAAAAGAAAGATGTTTTTTATTAAACAATTTGATAAAACTTAAAAATGAATTTTTAAAGAATCCATGTAATGGTATAAATCTATTAATATTAATGTGGTCGTAATCCTCCTCCCCCCCCCCCCCCCCCTCATTTCGACACGATTAAAAATCGACAATACTTTACAGGTAAGAACATCTAAGCTGAAGAATAACGGTAGCGGGCCCCGCCGCGGTGTAAACACGGTCTCAGGTAGCACCGCGATCAAAACCCGCGACGGTGTAACGCGGAAAGGATTAATACACCGCGGAGGGGACGCGGTCTAATACGGGATCCGCGTTGCCTGTACTGTATATGGCAATCTGACTAAAGCCAGACCTCTGTTTACGCTATCGCAACATGTAAAAAAATCTGGCATAAGATTGCTACGAACGCCAGGAAGGGACACGTAAATTTTTCAAAAAAGTAAAAGATGATATCGAATCGAATTAGACAATCTAATCCCACGGATTACTAAATTGTTCCCTCGATTTATAATATGAGATCTCGAATAACACAATCCGATCTTAAGGATTACTAATTCGCCCCCTTGATTCATAATTTGAGATCTCGAATTACATACCTGTAATTTGTTTTCACAGATTGATAATTCAACATCTTGATTTGTTACAACGTCAGTCTTATGATTTTGGAAATCTGTGCTCTTGAATTTCATTACAGTCATATATGTACAGAAACATCCAACCATTTTAATCAATAAGTGCGTTCTATTTATTTTGTTTCAGCAACCGGTCGTTTCCAACCTCTTTCATAACTAATTCAACGTATATTTATTTTAGAAATATTATGATTACACAGGACCCATATTCACTTTTACTATCTAGGACTTTCAATTATTCTTATATACAAGTAACACAAAAACTTCTAAGATTTTTTGTTGTACAAATATCAGTACTAGCACATGGATTTGAAAATGTTCATGTAATTTTCTCCTTTTGGACCGTAATATGTAATAAAAGTTAGGATGTAAAATACTTCAATATTCTATTTTTTAAACATGTATTACCATATCCGATATGTACAGATAAATAATTTAAACGAAATCATGGGAAGGGTTTACATTCCGAGGGAATGAATCTTTTAAACTAAAAGAATGAATTATACAATCTGAGGTAACGGACTGTGTAATTTGAGGGAACGAATTGGTAATCTGTGAGAATGAAATGGCAATTTGTCAAACAGATTGTCAATCCGAGAGAACGGATTGTATAAATCAAGAACTCGGTTTACTTTTATAAATTTTAAAAATTCTATGTCCCTTCATGGCTTTCATAGATTTCATACCTGCATGGCTGCCAGGGTTGTAAAAAAAAAGGAGACAATAGACTGCAATGTCACTTCAGGGCAAAATTCCTGGCGCAAGGCTGTTCGTGAGCATGGGAGTGTTGATAAACCATCCAGTGAGTTTGACCACCCATGTATATGATGTAGGATAATTGAAAAGTGTCTGAAAAATTGAGAAAATGGAAATTCTAACCACATACTTCATGCAGATTGGAACTTACAACAGCAGTCTATAAAAACAGTTTGTTCCATATCTCAGCATTCATTCAGATAGATATTACATGTTTAAATAATGTGTTTGTATGAATAATCAAGCATCATAAGTATTATGTGTTTTGAACACTTATTTTTCAAAATATTAATCAAATGTGTATAAACTTGTATGAATGCGATATCATGAGAATGACACAAATGAAATTAGACTTTATTTTTTTTAATTTTAGAAATACAGAAATTTTCAATACCAAAACAAAAATTTACCTGTTCATTGGTGTCCTTACATATTAATTAACCTTCGTAGTTCATGGTGGGCTTAGAAAGTGGGTATTCACAGATGAAAGTATTGTTGCAATGCTGAAAGCACCCTAAAATTTCAATGTGAAAGTGGTAGTCATGTACACCTGTACACACTGGTACATAGATACTGAAAACAACTATCCATTATTATGAAAACTTTGATTTTACTTTGAACTTACGAGTGATTGTTAAATTGAGCATCAAAGTTCAAAAGCAATGCAAAATTGGCTGAACGATACGAAACACGCACACTGAAACATAAAGATCTAGTACATGTGTACATTTAGTTTTCTTTTGAACGTGAACTATTGCGTTTTAAACTTAAACTTTTCAGTCAATATAATTTGAATATACACGTATTCTCACCTGCTAATACCAAAGGCATGTTCGTATTATTTGATTCATTGATGTGATGATCTTCGTCGTGAAATAATCATGAAAATTGACGTTCAGATTTTGGATCACCATCATGTTTACACCAAAGCGGAAACACGTGTTTATTTCAATTCGTATCAACTCATACAGTGATGAGTCGTATTTATTTATAAATGCGAGTTTTTGTATTGTAAGATATAGATCTAATTAAATTGCAAATTAATAAGTATACAGTATAACAAGATACAACAATATTAAAATCTGATTTTTTTTAATAAAGATCGCCGTTTTGGAAATCTACAATTTTCATCAATATTGTATTTCACTTCATGAAATATACATCATTACAATCAACATTCACTTCACAAAAGACAGAACGAAAGTATATATTTGTTTTTTGAAATCTATTTTTTTTTTTTTTTGTATTATGCATTTATTTCAGTAAAAAATATATTTGAATGGTCAAAAAAGTCTTATAAAAGAATATGTTGTTTCGAGTAAGACGCAACAATATCGACCTTGACGTTACATGTAAATATTGACCGATTTTTCCATAAAAACTATGCAAAGGTCACAAATTCAAATTATCGTAATTAAGAAAATACTGAGCGGAAGAAGGCCTATAAGGGCTTGTTGGAAAGGAAATTTTCTCTACTTTTACCAGCTTTATTTTGTTTTCCCTATTTCAACACAGAAATAAACGTAAAACTGAGCTTTGTTTAAATATTACGAATAAAATCGATAAAAAACACATAAGTGCAAGAAAATTCTTGTTTTTAAAATATACCTTAAAGTAAAAACAATAATTTTTACATATTTTAAAAGTAGAGAAAATATTCTTTAAGAATATACCATGCTTTCTTATAAAGTTAATCAGGAAAAAAATTGTCAATCGTCTGGAAATTCGGCAATCGCTTTGGAAAATTACGCCATTTTCAAAAAGTCTCGTTTGTCTTTACAACGTAAAATCGATTAAATACCGGCAATCAAGATGTAATCTTTTTAGATATTTTAAAAGTTTAGATATTTAAAAACTCATAATACCCATACATGTTCTTAGACAAAAAATAAGCATGCGTTACCAGAGGTTTTTAAAAGATATCGAATTATGAAATTTTTTGCATTATTTAAAGAAAAATGTATAAAAATTACAAAAGATAAATTCCAGTTTTTTTTCTCATCAAAATTTGTATTAAAAGAGGTGTAAAATCCATACATATACATTTAAAATATCTGCCCTCCTTAACTAGAACGATCAATCCAATCATTAATTGAATTAATAGGAACTCATTACTTAATAAACTGTGTCATATGCTGCTGCAAAAGGATTTCTAAGATATACAATAAGATGTACCGTCGTTTGTTGAACGAGTACGACTGAGACAGCCATTTTTTTCGTCACAAGTGACCTACATAGTGACGTCATTTTCACTTTGTGACGTCACAAACAAGGAGCAATACTTTATTCAGCATTCGCTATTTATAGAACGTGTATATGGCTATGTGCGTATCATTTTTTTTTTTCAAATCTGAATCGCGGGTTTTTAGATATAGAGATAGTTCGCGAACTTTTTGATCACCCCTCGTAATTCCAGGACCGGCAAACCCGTGTTTAGGTAGATAAGACTGTTTAAGAAGAGAGGAATGTAGCAATCAGTAGGTAATAAACATTTATAAAATGAAACGCTTTAACCTCCATCAACATCTAGAGTTTTTCTTTGATGTGTTGTGGTTAAAGCTATAACAATCTATCCTTATCCTTTCGAGCTTTTGGGTTTAATTACTGCTCATTAGCTTCATTATTTTTCGTTGGTATAAATTAAATGTATCATTTGAGGCACATCCATTTATATCATGAATCATTTTCATACACTAGTATTTAACTTAGAGGTATATATATGAGATATTGCATAAGTTGCAACAGAAACTTTTCTTTTCTCTTTTATCTTATCCAGTTTTGTTTTGTTCCAGAAAAATAGAAGAAGCTTCAAATGAAAGCGGGCTTCCGAGAACCGCCAAACATAAAAGAGTGGATTAACGAAACTGTTGCAAAGAATTAATCCCAAAGCTATAGAATGCATTATTCCGGCAGACTTAGGATCGAATGAATGAAGCAAAACAATGATTACCATGTACGGAGTCGTGCAGAGAAGATAAACGCTTATGATTACGTATAGTTTCCTTAATGCTCCATATGTATTCTTTATATTTATTTTGCCTTTCATCAGCGTTTCAGAAACACGGGAGGACAGACATGTGAACATGACAATATTAAGACATTGTAGAAGAAGAAATGCATATTTGGGTATCAAATTTGCAGTTTTGTTGGGGGCCATGAACATAATTCCACAGAATATGCCATAGGGTGATCGCTCATCATAATATATTACGTAAGTTGGAATCAAAGCAATTGTCCAGAAAGATAAGCAGGCCAGAACTAGAATCCTTTTTTTCATGATTCTGTAGTATTTGAAAGCAAACATCATGGACAGAAATCGGTCTAATTGAATCATTGATATCGTCAAAAGTGACACTATAACAAATGGACTTGCTAGATACTTTTTATACCTGCATCCTTTAAAAATGTTATCCGGGATGCAAAGCATCATCCCGGTACCAAAATCTGTTATGCTAAGATTTAAAGCAAGAATCCGAATTGGTTTCAGCATCTTTTTGCAACGGAATAGAATTATCATTGCTAGTAGATTTTCTATACAGATAGGTATACCGAACGGAATGAGAACTTTGTTGGACATCATTATCGTTGTCATTCTTCTCTTAAACGCTGTGATGCCGAAACATATGTTATCTATATATGCTGATTCCTCTGAAAGTGGTTCACTTCAATAAGTCTGACGCTAACAATAACCATCCATGTACAATATGTCTGTTGAAGTGATAGTCACCAACAAATAACAATGTGTTGCCACCAAATATGCATCAAAGTTGATCAATTTAATATGCCCTGTCGCATCTGTTCACTAATTAGCGATTCTGAAAAAAATAATGCTAACATTAAAGTGACGTTAAGAAACAGTTGATATTATTGAATTTTTTTAAATTAGGTCAACAAAACATGTGATTTTTAACCATAATACTTAACAAGGCTGCGACAAGTAAATTTAATCTGTCTGAAAGAAAATATTTCCACACAAATATCATGTTTGTCTGAATTTTAAGAAATCGTCACTCTGTCATTCGCTTTAATTTGTTATTGGGAACCCGGGTTCAAGTACCGTTCGCCAAGCCGCCTCAAACATTAAGACGTAAACATATGTACAGTGACTGTCCCTTCGACCAGCAGAAGAAGTGAATTTCATACTAGATCGTTCGGTAAAGACCTTATAAGCCGTTTGTCTCAATACGTGTTGGCATGATAAATAATCCTCTCTGCTCAATAAATGTAGCTCAGTCGGTTTAGAGAACTCGCTCCATGATCGAGAGGACATGAGTTTAAATCTTGGCCGCGGCTTACATAAGTCGATAAAAAATGAGTAGCAACTGTTCTTTCGCCATTAAAATTGCGGGTCCTTCTGATGAGACCTTAAAACCGACGTCCCGTGTCATGGCAGGCGATGGCATGATATGATAAAGATCCCTCAAGGCGAGCAATGGCCCTGAATGCCGTTAAAAGGTCAAAATTTTAAGCCCTTCACTGATATATCTCGACCCTATATAAGAGTTTAAAATTCTCGATCGGGACTTAAAACAACAAACAATCAATTAATCAATGACCATTTATTACGGAAAACTTTAAACCAAATTTCATCGCGTCATCTTTTAGATGCAATTCGACATTTGAAATCGATCCACGACGATTGTTTTTCGAAAGTGAAGAAGATTCTCAACAATTACAAAGGAAAAAACTTTGTTCGCGGTAACTATAATCGCGAATTCAAGTACGTCGCGACAATCTCAGGTATTTCATGCACGTGAATAAATGTTTGCTTACATCATATTTCAATATATCATCAGAAGAATCGATAATGTTTTGGCGTTATTTTGCCCTAAAGATTGAATAAGTAAAATGTTTAATTAAAATATTTTTGGAACATACGATCCTTCCGATCACAGAGTCCGATCCATCAAGTGATGTTGTCTTTTGCAACTTACTAAGAAAATCATGGAAAAATTCACAAATTCACGAAGTCAAAGTAAATTATTACGAACTCATGAAAAAAAAACAATTTTGTTGATTTTACTGCATGGGATTTCAACGATTCGGAAAGCTTTTTTTTCTTACATCATTTAAATATTTTAGACATAGAGCCAATATTGTTCTGAAACCATACTTTATTCTTTGAACATCGGTTAATGATAAAATCTTAATATGAGCGAAACGTTCTCTAATGAAATATAACTACAGAAAATTAACCAGTGAATAAATATGAAAATTTTGACATTTTAAAACGTGTCTGATAAACAATACAAGGTATCCATATATTAATTAAATATTCAGCATACTGTATCGCAATCAAAGATAAATATTTTAAAAAATCCCTGCAGAGTTACTTACCAAATTATTTGATCTTAATATCTTGAAGTATTAAGCATGGCTATTCACTCGTTATTTCCTTAAGCCCTTATATAGGAAAATATAACAGAGGGCATTTTTTGCCTGACTTTCACAGCTACATAACATAATATAACGTGTTGTTGAAATGTAAAGATATTATGTATATTTTTAAGAATACGTGTCTTAGAGCTCATGTTTCTTTTCCTCCCACAAATTGATTGATTGATTGATTGTATACTGTTTAACGTCCCTCTCCAGAATACTTTACTGTTATGGAGACGTCACCATTGCCGGTGAAGGGCTTGAAATTTAGGCCTATGCTCTGCACTTACGGCCTTTGAGCAGGGAGGGATCTTTATCATGCCACACCTGCTGTGACACGGGGCCTCGGTTTATATGGTCTCATCCGAAGGACCTCCCTATTTAGTCGCCTTTTATGACAAGCAAGGGGGTATTGAGAACCTATTCTTACCCGGATCCTCACGGGGCTCCCATAAATTCAGGTGTCGTTGTTCCATTAACACATTATTTCTACTAATCTTCGAACTTTTAAAGGTCAGCAAAATCCTTCTATACATGACAATACACATGTAACTACAGCGTGTTTTGGACCAAGCAATGCAAATGAAATTTGTATTCACTGATACAAGGGAATACTGCAGTACATGTAGCCAACTGTCCACCAAATGAATCGTCTTACAAAGCAAAAATTAAACAATGAATCAAATGTGTGGTAT